TTTTTACTTATACATAAAATATCCTCCGTCACATCAAAGTTTTTATTTCCTCCTCAAAACAAAATCTTCCAAAAAATAAAAACACACAAAATTAGTAAGTGATTGAAAAAAAAAAAAACTCATTTATGGTAATAAATAAATAATTATATAACAACAAAAAAGTCTTAAAAAATGTTTTATTATTATTAATTTGGTACTAACAAAACGATTGGATTATTAGTTTATGAGCTATCGTGCTCGCCATTCGCGAAACACGGCTTCGAGAAAAATGCATTAAAAGTTTGAGAATCACTCTTGCCGTCACTTGATGCTGACACAATAAATCGGCTATATCTTCAAGAGTAGATTCGAATTAAATAAAAAAAAGTTTGACACCGAGAATGGGGGACTTTGGTGCACCTTTTACATAGAATCTGACAAAACTATATATGAGAGCTATATCTAAATCTGAAGCGATTTTCACGAAACTTAGCACATATCATTCTAGACACAATTCAGTACCCTGTGCAAAATTTCGTGTAAATCGAAAGTTATATAGGGACTTTGGTACACCATTTACATAAAATACGACTAAAACGTATACGGGAGCTATATCTAAATCTGAACCGATTTTCTTCAATTTCAATAGGGTTCGTCCTTGGACCAAATGAGTGAGCTGTGCCAAATGTCATCCAAATCGGATCATAAATGCGACCTGTACTTTGTTTACAATTTAATATAAATAGACGGACGGATGGACGGACATGCATAAACAGACATAGAGAGTGATTCTATGCATTCTCAAAAGGAACCATGTGTCTATCTCGTTTCCTTTTGCCTGTTACAAACATATGCACAAGGACATAATACCCTGTACCACAGTGTGGTGAAGGGTATAATTAGAGAGAGAGAACAACGTTGTTCAAATGCCCGCCAGAACATGGTATAAGACTATATGCGTATATTTGAAGCATTTGAGATCCGTATTACAACATATAGTCATATTTATATTGTGCACTAATTTTTCCAAGGACTCTTCATAGTATCCAGATTTTTATTAAGTTCATTGAAATAAGTAGTGAATATAGATTCCCTTCTTACGTTTACAAATCGAAATGCTTTTTCGCGGTCTTTCACTATTTACATAGTGTTTTCATTGCATCGGGGGTTTACAATAATCACACAACACCACATGTGTATACAAAGTTCAATAAGTTGTCGTTTAAAACGATTCTAATATTACAAAAATTACTAAAAACCTAAAATACTGTGTTATTTTTGGTTATATATAATAATAATTATATATCATATGTACATACTCTGTTCTTATTGTATATTTAATACATTTCTGTAGCAGCGACAAAAATTCGTCTTGCACATTGCGGAACACATCATATATATTTGCAGAATGTTGCCAGCCATATAAATTGTTTTTAAACTCTCTAGTTTTTTTCTGTCATTATTCCATTGCATTTCAGAGAGTAAAAAATTTAGTTCTCTTTGTAATTAACAGAAAATGTTGTTACGATATCGTAACAACAGAGCAAAAGCCATCTAACGGCCAACTTGGAAATTCAATTGTCCTATCTTTATACTTTTATGTCTTTGTTATTCGTTAATGGAGGGATCTATTTTAAATAATATTTTTAAAGATCCCTTTTTAAAGAAGGATTTTTAAAAGAATATTTTAGGGGCCCCTTATAGACGTGGATATTTAAAAGGAGTGTTTTTAACGGTCATTTAAAGGCGTGGAATATTAAAAACATTTTTATGGGTCATTTAAAGGCGTGGATAATTAAAAAAAACATTTTTAAAGGTCTCCAATATGCGTTATTTTTCAAAAGAACAATTTTAAAGGTCTTGAAGTGGGCGTGGATTATTAAAAAAGTATATTTAGGGACCTCTAATAGGCGTGGATTATTTAAAGAGTATATTTATGGACCTCTAATAGGCGTGGATTATTAAAAGAGTATATTTAGGGACCTCTAATAGGCGTGTATTATTAATAGAGTATATTTAGGAACCTCTAATGGGCGTGAATTATTAATAGAGTATATTTAGGAACCTCTAATAGGCGTTGATTATTAAAAGAGTATATTTAGGGACCTCTAATAGGCGTGGATTATTAAAAGCGTATATTTAGGGACCTCTAATAAGCGTGGATTATTAAAAGAGTATATCTAGGGACCTCTAATAAGCGTGGATTATTAAAAGAGTATATATTTAGGGACCTCTAATAGGCGTGGATTATTAAAAGAGTATATTTTGGAGACCTCTAATAGGCGTGGATTATTAATAGAGTATATTTAGGGACCTATAATAGACGTGGATTATTAATAGAGTATATTTAGGGACCTCTAATAGGCGTGTATTATTAATAGAGTATTTTTAGGGACCTCTAAAAGGCGTGGATTATTATTAGAGTACATTTAGGGACCTCTAATAGGCGTGTATTATTAATAGAGTATATTTAGGAACCTCTAATGGGCGTGAATTATTAATAGAGTATATTTAGGAACCTCTAATAGGCGTGGATTATTAATAGAGTATATTTAGGGACCTCTAATAGGCGTGGATTATTAATAGGGTATATTTAGGGAGCTCTAATAGGCGTGGATTATTAAAAGAGTATATTTAGGGATCTCTAATAGGCTTGAATTATTAAAAGAGTATATTTAGGAACCACTAATAGGCGTGGATTATTAAAAGCGTATATTTAGGGACCTCTAATAGGCGTGGATTATTAAAAGAGTATATTTTGGAGACCTCTAATAGGCGTGGATTATTAATAGAGTATATTTAGGGACCTATAATAGACGTGGATTATTAATAGAGTATATTTAGGGACCTCTAATAGGCGTGGATTATTAATAGAGTATATTTAGGGACCTCTAATAGGCGTGTATTATTAATAGAGTATATTTAGGGACCTCTAATAGGCGTGGATTATTATTAGAGTACATTTAGGGACCTCTAATAGGCGTGTATTATTAATAGAGTATATTTAGGAACCTCTAATGGGCGTGAATTATTAATAGAGTATATTTAGGAACCTCTAATAGGCGTGGATTATTAATAGAGTATATTTAGGGACCTCTAATAGGCGTGGATTATTAATAGGGTATATTTAGGGAGCTCTAATAGGCGTGGATTATTAAAAGAGTATATTTAGGGATCTCTAATAGGCTTGAATTATTAAAAGAGTATATTTAGGAACCACTAATAGGCGTGGATTATTATAAGCGTATATTTAGGGACCTCTAATAAGCGTGGATTATTAAAAGAGTATATTTAGGGATCTCTAATAGGCTTGAATTATTAAAAGAGTATATTTAGGAACCACTAATAGGCGTGGATTATTATAAGCGTATATTTAGGGACCTCTAATAAGCGTGGATTATTAAAAGAGTATATTTAGGGATCTCTAATAGGCGTGGGTTATTAAAAGAGTATATTTAGGGATCTCTAATAGGCGTGGATTATTAAAAGCGTATATTTAGGGACCTATAATAGGCGTGGATTATTTTAAGAGTATACTTAGGGACCGCTCATAGGCGTGGATAATCTAAAGAGCATATTTTGGGACCTCTAATAGGCTTGGCTTTTTAAAAGAGAATATTTTGGGACCTCTAATAGGCGTGGATTATTAAAAGATTATATTTAGGAACCTCTAATAGACGTTGATTATTAAAAGAGTATATTTAGGCACCTCTAATAGGCGTGGATTATTAAAAGAGTATATTATGGACCTTTAATAGGCGTGGATTATTAATAGAGTAGATTTGGGGACCTTTAATAGGGGTGGATTATTATAAGAGTATATTTAGGGACCTCTCACAGGCATGGAGTATTAAAAGAGTATATTTAGAGACCTCTCATAGGCTTGGATTATTAAAAGAGTATATTTAGGGACCTCTCATAGGCGTGGATTATTAAAAGAGTATATTTAGGGACCTCTCATAGGCGTGGATTATTAAAAGAGTATATTTTCGGACCTCTAAAATGTGTGGATTATTCAAATATATGGACCTTTAAAATGCGTGGATTATTCAAATACTATATTTTTGGGGCCTTAGTGTTGTGTGGATTTTTATAAGAATACTTTTTCAGGGCCCTAATATGGAGCGGATTTTTAAAAGAATACTTTTTCAGGGTTCTAATAAGGTGCGGATTTTTAAAAGAATACTTTTTCAGGATTTTAATAAGGTGCGGATTTTTACAAGAATACTTTTTCAGGGTCTTAATAAGGTGCGGATTTTTAAAATACTTTTTCAGGGTCTTAATAAGGTGCGGATTTTTAAAAGAATACATTTTTAGGGTCTAGAGAATGTGCAGATTATTAAAAAAATATTTTTTAAGGGACTGAAGGTGTGGATGTTTAAAAGAGCACAGTTTTAATTTCTTAATAACGTGCGGATTTATAAAAGCTTAATTCTTAGGTTTCCAATAAGGTGCGGATTTAAAAAAAAATAAATATTTTTCAATCCCTCAATAAGAGTTTTTTTTCAGTGTAGCTCATTTTTTTTGCAGCATATTACCCCTCGTGTAAACCCGCCCTATATTATTATCGATTAATATAACCTCAAAGTTATCGGAAAAAAATTTTGAAACGGATTTGGATTTTTCTGCAGATTTTTTGAATTTTTCGCATCCAAGTAGGCCATTAAATTTTATTCCGAGAAGATATTGCATTCCCTGCTGTTTGCAACGAGTCCTTTTCAAAATAATTCTTCGTGTGGCGACTTCAATGAATAATTAAAGGAACCCAAATGTCGGAACCGCAAACTTGCATGGCATTTGTGTATCTGCTGAAGGGAGTTGACCAATTGGATGCATTTAATCCACTCCATAGTACCGCAACTAGTTCCCAGAGTTATATTCCATGAATTGTTTCATTGAACTTCGTTCCGAAACCCCGCCGTTTTGTTTTGGCTTGCCATGATCTGTTTGTTCTGATCTTATCACAAAATAAACAAGATAGGGCATGCAGAGATTAGTCGTAGAGTCGTTAGTCTCAGACAATGATGGTCTCACAACAAGACGCTGCGGATTTATGGAAATTGGCAGGGAATCAGGAGCAGGAAAGTGAGGTTATCACCGGAACCGCAACTGAAATGGAGGACAAGGTTGATAAAATAATCCAATTGGATTTTGGTCATTTCCAATTAATGTTTTTAATCCCTTTCAGGTTCTGAATAACATGGAACATGAGATGCCGAAGTACGACCCCACTATAGAGACCTTTACGGCTCCCGAAAGTGATAAATGGCCAGTTTCGGAAATCATACGCCTGCTACGTTTCTATGCCGGTCATCGTTGCCTGTGGGATGTCGAGCATGAGGATAATAATAATCGTCGAATGCGCCATGCTGCCTTGGTGGATATAACCGCTGCCATGGGAGGCCATCTTACTAAGGACCAGGTGGTACAAAAAATTAATATTATTCGGGCCACATATCGTTATGAAAAGAAACGTATAAAACATCGTATGAAACTGGGCATGGGATCGAAAACCAAGTTGAAATGGTTTGCCCTGGCCGATGCGTTTTTGAGAAATGTCCCCAAAAAGGGGCACAAGGGGGAGGTGGGTGGCAAAATTAAAATTTTTTGAAGAGAATTTTATATGAAAATATTTTTTATTTTCTAGGAGGCTCGTAATTCAGACTCTGACTTAGAAGATGCTGTGGTTTTTACCATAAATCCCGAAACATTGGGGCCTTTGTTGCCCCACAAGGCCTTGGGAAAGGGTGAAAGTAAATTGGTGGCTGGAGAATTATCTTGCCAACCTAAAATTGAATATTTTTCGGAAGATAGTGAATTCAACGAGGGTCACGAAGAAAGCGACCTTAGATCGGAGGAGGCCATAAAACCCAAACTGGAAGAGGTGGAGGAAAATCTGCATCATCAATTACTAATAATGAAGGAAGAAAAACTAAATGATGGGGAAATTAAAAACGAATTTGCGAAAGCCAAACAATGGACCTTGGAGACCTCCTTGGAATTTATAAATCTCCTAAAACAATACCCCATATTATGCAGCACCCACACATCAGAGTCGTGGAAGAGCTCAACAAATTTTCCTCTGCAAACAATAGCCCAAGAAATGCAATGGCCCTTGGAGAGTATTGAAAAACGCTGGCATATCCTGAAAGAGACCGTAACCAAAGAGAGGGAAAAAATATCTCAAGATCCCACCTATCAACCCCCCTACAAATGGTGGCAGGAAACGGAAATGCTGTGGGAAAAGCCAAGGGAAATAAAACCTGAAACCATTTATCTCGATGAAATGAAAAGTCCACCTAGGAACTACACAGATCATGAGGAGGACGACTATGAGGACTATGAAAAACGTTTCGAAAATCCCCTACCCTCAGTGGCGCCCATGTCCAACATGAATGAATCTCTAATGTCTTCCCTATTTCGTGAGGATTTTTCAATGGAATCCGCAACGAATTCCTCTTACCCCATAGAAATGGAAACCGAGGAAAAGATGCCATGTAATAAAAACGTTCTGGAAGATGATTTGCTGGAGGGTAAATGGTCCTTGAAACATTCGGTGAAATTTTTACGCCTTTATGGTGTACACAGATGCCTATGGGATTTAAAAGATCCAGATTACCGCTCAAGAGCTCTACGTAATGCTGCCATAGAAGATATTGCCGCCTCAATGGGTCATGGCCTGACCGCTGCCTATGTGGCAAAGAAAATTAAAATTTTCCGCATAACCTATATGCAGCAGAGGAAGCGAATTTTGGAAGCCACACGAAGGGGTGAGAGGCCTGAAATTCTATTGAAATGGTTTCCATTGGCTGATAGTTTTCTAAGGCCACATATTGGTTTGCGTTCGATTAAGGCGGACGTGGAGGAGGTAGTGCCACAATTCGATTTCCAGTATGTCTATGCAAATTTGAATTTAATCGATCCTGGTTTGCTGAATGATTTTCGGGGTAAGGGTACCCAGAATGCCATCGATATTGGGAATAATGAAAATGAACAATCCAGTAATGGGGAGAGTGAGTAATGATCGGAGGACCAAAGGTAATTTTTTTAAGATTAAATTTATACCCCCTAGAATAAAGAAAAACAACAGATCTAAGCAGAACTTTGACAGATTTTTTAAACACTATTTTTTTTAAATTAGTTTTTCAAGACCTTATTTATAAACTTACTTACTTACACTTAGCTGGTTTGTGACAGAACTTTCGTTACATAAGCCGAGCTTAAAAAAGATTTCCAGGCTCGTCGGTCTTTTGCCCAGTTTTTCCAATTTGAAAGATAATTTTCGGCAATGTTGTCTTCGACTAGATCTTTCCATCGTATTCGTGGCCTTCTCCTTCTGCGTGAACCATCAGCTGGTTCGCTTCTATATACCTTCTGGGCTGGGGCATCTTCATCCATTCTCACAACATGACCTAGCTAACGTAGTCGCTGCAGCTCAATATGTCTAACAATGTCGATGTCCGAGAATAGCTGGTACAACTCATGGTTCATTCGACGCCGACATTCACCGTCAACGCAGTCATTTCTGTTCACCTTTGAGAATTTTTCTTCAAACACTCCAAGAGCTGCCTCATCTGCTTGCGTAAGTACCCATGCTTCAGATCCATATAACAGCACGGGTAGTATCAGCGTCTTGTAGAGTGCGCTCTCAATGTTCGACCCATTATGTCGATGTCATAGGTGTAAGCGAGTGACTGGTTTTGTTTGGTGTACATAGTGTCATTTCTGTTCACCGTTGCGTCTTGTATGACCTTATCCAGCAGGATGTTAAAAAGATCAGACGCCAGACTGTCACCTTGTCTGAATTCTCGATCGGTATTAAAGGGCACCGAGAGGTCCTTTCCGACTTTAACTGCTGAGCTTGTACCAGTTAAAGTTATCCTGCATAGCCGTATTAATTTTGCAGGAATGCCGAACGTAGACATGGCTTTAAACACCTCTGAACGAATAGGGCTATCGAATGCGGCTTTATAGTCGATGGAATAGGCGGAATGTGTCGATGTGTTTTTCGTGGTTTTTTTTTTCAGGATTTGCCGCAGAGTGAAAATCTGGTCAATGGTGGATTTGCCAGGTCTGAAGCCGCATTGGTATGGTCCAATAATGTTATTGACCAGTCGTTCACTTTATAGCACTTTATATGCGATGGGAAGAAGGCTAATTCCTCTATAGTAGGCACATATCGTCCTGCCTCCTTTTTTGTGCACGGGACACAGGATGCTGTGGTTCCAATCATTGCTCATACATTCCTCTGGCCAAATTGTACTAACCAGCTGGGGCATGCTCCCGACCAGCATCTGAACACCAGTCTTGAATAGGTTGGCTGGTAACCCATCGGCTCCTGCTGCTTTATTGTTCTTGAGCCGATTAATTGCTTTTATGACCTCATCTTGGCTAGGTGCTACTATACGATACCAGAAGTTTTTCAAAGCTCCTCAACACCCTGTCTGTATCTGTCACCAGGTTTCCTTCTTCATCTCTAAAGTATGTGTAGTATGTGCTTGCACCAAGGCCTTCTGTTGGGTGTTTACTCGTTGGTACAATTTCCGGACTTCATTCTGACTCCTGTTCACGCCCACGTTTTTCTTGTTCTTTCTTAGTTTTTCTGAAAACTTTTCTCCTCTCTTAAACGTCTCTCGCACCTTTGCTTCAACATTAAGACGAGTGCGAACATTGGAACCTTGCTACAAGGTAGTGGTCCGACTCGATATTCGTTCCACGGATCGATCGGTCGTCTAAAACACTGGATGAATGCCTTCCGTCTATCACAACATGATCGATTTGTTGTTCTCATTGTTCGATCGGAAGAAATCTAAGAGGCCTTGTGTATATCGAGATGCTTGAATCTGGTGCTGCTAACTACCATGTTTTTTGCTGTCACGAAGTCAAGCAACCATATGCCATTGTTGGATGTTTTTTTTATGAAGGTTGAATTTTCCGACGGTGACGGCCAAAGATATTTTCCCTTTCGATTTTCGCATTAAAATCTTCTAGCAGAATTTTAATATCATGGCCAGGGCAGCGATCATATGCTGTTTCTTGGCGCTCGTAAAATATGTCTTTGGGCTGTTCATCTTTATCTTCGGTCGGAGCATGGGCGCAAATGAGACTGATAGAGAAGAACTTCGCTGTTATGCGGATTATAGCAATTCGCTCATCTACTGGAGTGAATCTGAAGACGAGGTCGAGCCAAATTCATGTCTCCTGTCATGTCAGCTATAATACAGAGCGTAATCTTCTGATTTACTTACGCCAGTCCCTTTCCATCGCATTTCCTTTAAGGCAATAATATCGTCTTTGTACTTCCTGAGTACATCCGCCAAAGCGAGAACTGTGCCTTTTCTGTACAACGTGCGCACATTCCAAGTGCAGATTCGCAGATCGTGGTCCTTCATCCGTTTGCGGGGGTCATCAACGCCTTGTTGGGACCCCGAAAAAAATTATTTTAAAAATCCACGCCTTGTTGGGACCCTGAAAAAAATTATTTTAAAAATCCACGCCTTGTTGGGACCCCGAAAAAAATTATTTTAAAAATCCACGCCTTGTTGGTACCCTGAAAAAAATTATTTTAAAAATCCACGCCTTGTTGGGACCCCAAAAAAAATTATTTTAAAAATCCACGCCTTGTTGGGACCCCGAAAAAAATATTTTAAAAATCCACACCTTGTTGGGACCCCGAAAAAAAATATTTTAAAAATCCACGCCTTGTTGGGACCCCGAAAAAAATTATTTTAAAAATCCACGCCTTGTTGAGACGCCGAAAAAAATTATTTTAAAAATCCACGCCTTGTTGGGACCCCGAAAAAAAATATTTTAAAAATCCACGCCTTGTTGGGACCCCGAAAAAAAATATTTTAAAAATCCACGCCTTGTTGGGACCCCGAAAAAAAATATTTTAAAAATCCACGACTTGTTGGGACCCCGAAAAAAAATATTTTAAAAATCTACGGCTTATTAAATTAAAAAAAAAGTTGAAATTGAAAAAAAAAATGTTTTACAAAATCCCCGTTTTCCAATTCAACACCACCAATCATAACCACATAAAAATGACCTAAATTACCCTCAACGTGCAAAAAGCGAATTGGTGTTGTCTGTTGAAATGCCAAGTGAATTGTGGCTGGTTAACTGGTTAACACAAAAAAATTAAATATTCTTATCGAAATGCAAAAATCACATTGTAATATGGAAGAACAAAAAAAAAAAAAAACAACAACAAAAAAAACAATAAATCGAAAAAAATGCATTATGGTTGTTACCAACAAAACGTGTTCAATGCATTCATTCATATCCCATAAGCCAACCGACCAACCAGCTAAACGATCTTTACAACCAAATGTTGGCATCAATCATGTTTGAAGACAACCAGGTAAGAGCGGCTAATAAAAAACCAATCCAACTAGAGTTATTTAAAATAATCTTCTTTACTTCCTTTCAGATTGTAACACCACATTGGAACACATTCCGATTCTATTATGAAGAATAGCACCAATTCGAATGGGGGGTTTTTACAACATCTTCAACACATCATTATTAAATTAATAACTTCCATAGGCCATATTTGGCCAGGCGTAGTGATAGAACAATGCTACAATATCTTATGGACCATTTAATTTAGCAAACCATTCAAATAAGACATTCAACCAGTCGGGCCATTGTTCATCTATTCCGCCGACAATGAATGAAAAACAAATTCAAGAAGACTTCAAGCGGGTTTTTATGTAAGTAGAATACTAAATTCTGAACATTATTTAGGTCATCAAGAAAATGGAGGATTGCGAAATCATAATCATGGAGGTAACTTCTTTGACGTATTTGCATTTAAAGTTATACAAAAAAATATTTTTGGAGCCCTATAAAATTCTTTTAAAAATCCACGCCTTATTAGGACCAAGAAAAAAATTCTTTTAAAAATCCACGCCTTATTAGGACCAAGAAAAAAATTCTTTTAAAAATCCACGCCTTATTAGGACCAAGAAAAAAATTCTTTTAAAAATCCACGCCTTATTAGGACCAAGAAAAAAATTCTTTTAAAAATCCACGCCTTATTAGGACCAAGAAAAAAATTCTTTTAAAAATCCACGCCTTATTAGGACCAAGAAAAAAATTCTTTTAAAAATCCACGCCTTATTAGGACCAAGAAAAAAATTCTTTTAAAAATCCACGCCTTATTAGGACCAAGAAAAAAATTCTTTTAAAAATCCACGCCTTATTAGGACCAAGAAAAAAATTCTTTTAAAAATCCACGCCTTATTAGGACCAAGAAAAAAATTCTTTTAAAAATCCACGCCTTATTAGGACCAAGAAAAAATTCTTTTAAAAATCCACGCCTTATTAGGACCAAGAAAAAAATTCTTTTAAAAATCCACGCCTTATTAGGACCAAGAAAAAAATTCTTTTAAAAATCCACGCCTTATTAGGACCAAGAAAAAAATTCTTTTAAAAATCCACGCCTTATTAGGACCAAGAAAAAAATTCTTTTAAAAATCCACGCCTTATTAGGACCAAGAAAAAAATTCTTTTAAAAATCCACGCCTTATTAGGACCAAGAAAAAAATTCTTTTAAAAATCCACGCCTTATTAGGACCAAGAAAAAAATTCTTTTAAAAATCCACGCCTTATTAGGACCAAGAAAAAAATTCTTTTAAAAATCCACGCCTTATTAGGACCAAGAAAAAAATTCTTTTAAAAATCCACGCCTTATTAGGACCAAGAAAAAAATTCTTTTAAAAATCCACGCCTTATTAGGACCAAGAAAAAAATTCTTTTAAAAATCCACGCCTTATTAGGACCAAGAAAAAAATTCTTTTAAAAATCCACGCCTTATTAGGACCAAGAAAAAAATTCTTTTAAAAATCCACGCCTTATTAGGACCAAGAAAAAAATTCTTTTAAAAATCCACGCCTTATTAGGACCAAGAAAAAAAATTCTTTTAAAAATCCACGCCTTATTAGGACCAAGAAAAAAAAATTCTTTTAAAAATCCACGCCTTATTAGGACCAAGAAAAAAAATTCTTTTAAAAATCC